CGGCAGTGCGACGAGAGGGCAGGAGGTGCGAGCAGGGCCGGGCCGCAGGTCGGTGGAGGGGGCCGGGAAGCGGGCTGAGACCTCCGTTAGGTCAGCTTGTGACTGGGGGGCCGGGAGGGGGGCTGAGACCTGGCTGCAGCTCAGTGCATCGTTCGTGGGGCCAGAGCTGGGCTGCGGCCCAGCCACGGCCCAGTGCGTGGCCCCGGGGGCTGGGAGAGGGGCTGAGACCTGACTGCAGTTCACTCTGTGGTTCACAGGGCCGGGAGGCAGGCTGAGACCTGGCCACCGTTAAGTGCATGGCTCAGAAAGCGAGCTGAGACCTGACCACAGCTTAGTGCATGGCCCGGGGGTGCCAGGGGACAGGCTGCGACCTCACTGCAGCCTGGTGCATGGTCCGTGGGGCCCAGAGGTGGGCTGATACCTGTCTGCATCTCTGTGCACAGTCCGGGGAGCTGGAAGGCAGGCTGAGACCTAGCAGCAGCTCAGTGCAGGGTCAGAGGAGGCAGATATGTCTCATGGAGGGGGCAGGTGGTGCGGAGGGGTCACCAATCTGTCCCCTCACCCTGCTCCAAGGCAGTCGCAGGAGAGCGGTGGCTCTTATGGAGGTGCCCAAGCCCCAGCACAGCGGGCAGAGCCAGCTGGCTTCGCCCGCTGCCGCCTGAGCGGGAGAGGGCATTTAACCATGGACCCGTGCAGGCAGCAGGAGCTTTGCCTGCGTTGGTTTGCAGTCATTAATTCTTAGGATCAGTGAGGATTGTTTACTGCCTGGTGTTCATAACCTCATCCCTTTTAGATGCTAATCAGCTCTTGCCTTCCTGGCTTAGGTGTTGCGTAAATGTGTAATGAAATGATGGTCTCCAGCCCCAAAACTGAACTGTACAGGGCACGGCTTGGTGTGGACCTGGTGCCGGGGGAAGGCAGCATACTCAGGGCCTGGCTATTGGACAGCCAGATGACCTGATTCGGTTGTTATGCTGTGTAATCTGGAGCAGACTGTTGTGGTTTTTTTTTTTTCCCCTCTGTGCTGCTTTCTCCGTTTATAAGATACAGGTGCTAACACTTAGGCTGGTCGGAAATACAGAAAAGAAACAAATTTTTGCATTTCTTGAGATAGCTTTTGCTTACTCTTGTTAGACTACATGTTAGTCCGATCTTGCTCTGTAAAGTGCTTCTAAAGATGATGGGTAAAAATAGAGCAGATTTTTATTAGCTGCTTTGCAAAACAGAAATTACGAGGGGGATGACAACAGTGAAGCTTGCTCTAGGCAAAAGGGGGAAAGAGGATGTTGGGGCCAGGCTAATTGGGGCCATACCTCTTAAGACTGGTATGAGTCTGGACTGAATATTACCCCTCCAAACAGGTTTTAGAGGAGGAGGAGGAGCCCAAGACTGGCTGGGACTAATTTACTCATTTCCCTCCCAAAGGCTGACCCGGAGACCTGTATCAAGGAGTTACACAAGAGGAGGAGGTAGAAACTGGAAGCTCTCTGAATGTGCTGCCCGCAGACTTAAGGCTTTTTCAGAGACTCAAGATGACTTCCCACAAGAGATGCTTTCTGGAGGGATTGTGCTGAAGACGGAGCGCTGCAGCCTCTAACTGGGACAGCTCTTGCTGGTCTGGAGCTGAGACCAACTTCTCTCCCTTTTCCCTTGGAGATGTTGCAGAGATTTAATCTGACCTCCTCCTCCTCACCTGAAGCCTGCCGTGGCGATGATCCCACAGCCAGATCCGACCACCAAAGAGAAGAGAATTGTGTGTTTGAAGCTGGGCCGTCGTTGTAACTGAACTGGAATTTACTCCCTGCTTGCGCTTCTGGAACGAGTGCCGTTCCTCTGCTTGTCTGTGTGTGTTTTGAGCCACTCCTCCCAGATCTTGTTTGAAATTCTTGGGCTTTCCACACTGAATTTGCCCATGGCTTTCCTGATGAAGAAGAAGAAATTCAAGTTTCAAACAAGTTTTACTCTAGAAGAGCTGACTGCTGTCCCCTTTGTGAATGGGGTTCTGTTCTGCAAAATCAGGCTGCTAGATGGAGGAGACTTTGCTAGCTTATCTACCAGGTAAGAAGCTGCTTGGAGACTTGCTTCCTGGCTGTGGTTCTTTCCCTGGTTATTCTTCACTTGAGCAGTTTAGCATATGGCTACCACTTGCCTACCCCTTGATGGGATTTTAATAGTTCTGTTGTAGGGCCCCACATGCCACATCATTCTCAAGAGTGGGGGAAGAACATAGCTGGAGAACTCTGAACCTGGGTGGTGGTGGCTGATTAGAGCTGGACCGAATTTTTCAGAAATGTGGGGAGGGAGTGGGAGGTCGCTGCCCTGAAAGGGACTGGGATTTATGGGTGAAATCCTCTCTTGCCCCCTGCCCCCCCCCTTGCCCAAGTTCTCACATGCTATTTCAGACCCTATGCTATATTGCTTTCATGCCTGACTTGAAACTCAACTCTGTAGAAAACTGCATCTAAGCAAATCAACCCTTCCCAACTTTGCTCTCCCCCTTTGCTTCCAAATTACTGTTCTTGGTAAGAGTGGAAGTAGCTTGCTTTGCATTGCAAATTGCTGTGCATGGGAAAACTGCTGCCTGGAGTCAAAGTTGTCAGTGTTAAAGGCACAGTTTATCTCCTTGAGCTGATGCCATTGCATCTCCAAGTTTATAGCTGCAGTATTTTCTTTTTTTTGTGTGATCTGTCCTATTGGGATCGTTCTGCTGCACATCTTACAAGGTTGTTCTGCCATCGTGTATTGGCATTTCTCTGACTCCTTCAGGCAGGTCTGTCCCCGCTCCTGCTACTAATTGCTAATAAAAACTTGCTTTGTTTCCAACTATGCACATAGATTATCACTAGCAGTATGCAAATGCAAATTCCATAACAGCCCGGACTTGCTTTCTTTCTGCCTCAAGATGTGAAGGAAGCCTTCAGTGGCTTTCAAACTTGTTTTTTTGCTTTCCTGAGTGACTGCTCAGTTTTAAAGGTACAGGATTAGTTTCTGCTAACTGTTAACTGCTTTATCCCAGAGCTAAAGCCTGGCTTGGTCTGGTTTTCCTCTTTGTGGTGCTGCACACTGAGCTTTCTCATTTCAGGAGAGAAGTATTTATTGGGCAAGCAGAAAATGTTTCTGTCTTGCAAATAGAAGTGGTAGGGCATTGCTCAAAGCTTGGTTTTTCTTCCAGAGGCATGCAGCAACTTCATCTGAAGTCTGTAGAAGCTGTGGGTGTGAAACACTTCCAAAAATGGACTTTGAATTAATCTCTCTTTTGAAGAAAATCTATCAAAAGAGCTTTTCCTTACAGTGTTCTCCCCTGAGGCTAGATCCTGGGGTTTGGTGGAAGCAGCTTATCTAAGGAATTCAAACAGTATGTGAACTTGGAAAGAAATTAACCCCTCTGCTTCCTGGAGTCATAATAAAATGAGTTGAACTGGAGGATGTCTCCGGAAAAGCCTGTGCTGAGAAATGTCAGTCTCCACCTTGTCGTCTCTGAAAGCAACTTCTAGGAGCCATTGCTGGGGTTTGCTGATGCTGCCAGCCGTTGGGGTTGCATTGGGTTGCTTTCTGAGCTGGCTGGGGTGCAGCAGTTTGCTCAGTGCTGTGCATTGCAGATGTGTTCCAGAAGCAAAATCATCTGTAATTTAAACCAAACACACACATTACTCTCAGCTGGCTTGATTGCTTATAAACGAGCAAGAGGGAAGTAGGCTGTTGGGTTTGCCGCCTTTCCCCTAACCTGTCTGTACTCTAACTGAAAGCACATGGAAACCTGTTCCTGCTTGCAGAGTTACGGGTCTCAGGGGTATTGAGTCATTTGACCTTTTCCGAATATTTCCCCTGTTGCAGTTAGAGAAACTTCAGGAGGGATGGATTTCCAGGAACAGTAAGGAGAAGTTGCCCTGTGGAGAGGCTCCCAGATCATGCCTTAGCTCTGCTCTATGCTCCTGCAGTCATTTCCATGACCTTTTTATACTCTTTGGATCTGGTGAAAGTTTAAAGGGAAGGAGATGCTGTGTCCATGTTGTGTTAGAAGTCTGTACATTATTTAGGATCTGTGATTGTTCCTCTGATTGTTTCTCTGAAATCAACCAGTTGCAAAAACCATTGCATTTGAGGTTGTAATATCTGTCAGGTCATCTTATGTGAGCTGCCTGTGTAAAAAAGTCAGGTGTTTGCTCTGCAATCAATTTGGGCTTCATCTGTGGCAATAGGAGGTATGCAGCTATGATTGAGCAGACCAGTAGCTCTTTCTGCCTGTGAGTTTTCAGAGAACTAATCTGGACAAGGTGTCCCATGTCATTTGGAGTCTGTGAATGAGGTGGAGAAGTAGGTATAAGAACCCTTCATAGGATGCACTAAATCACTTCTCTTTTTTCGTGATTAAGTGACCTATGATGTGGAAAGAAGGATGTTGTTTGAGAATATAAGAATCCCCAGAGACAGATTTTTCAGGTTATTTACAATAGACTTACTTGGCAGCTTCTCCACGTCAGTGGTGAGAGATGGGGATGTGATAAATCCAATGAGTTGCTAGGTGGCACCGGGTTAATTTGACCTGTGAGCAGAGTAGGAGTGGGAGGCTGCACTGCCAGCTCCCATCCCGGTCCCAAGTCCACTTCAGCCTGGGTTGCACAGCCTGGTGCTATGGGGTCCGGTGGGGCACACCCCAGGCCAGGACCCCCATCCTGGGCTGTGAGCCACTCGCATCTCCTCTGCCCAGGCAGAGGCAAAGCAGCCTGGCTGGAGGGGGACCTGTCTGAAATGCATTAAGACTTAACACTGTTAGGAATTCAAGGCATTCTGGAAAAGGTCCAGGTGCTGTCAGCACATTCAGCTTTGGGGATATGCCTTTCCTGGGTTTTCTGGTTTGGGGTGGGTTTTTTGTGGTTTTTGTTTTGTTTTGTTTTTTCCCCTTGCAGGCAGGTACCCTTTTTCCATGCTTGCTGTGTTCAGGCCTTGAATTAAACCATGGGTATTTTGGTGACTAAAGTTGCAGCTGTAAAAGTCCTTTTGGTCCTCTTTTCCCCTCCCTTTGTGAAGTCTCCTTGCACTCTGGCCGGGCGTCTGAGGGTAAGACTCACCTGTTTCAGTTTACAGTGCTCTGCAGGAAAAGCATCTATTGTCTGAGGGTTTATCACCCTGCCTGGATTACAGAAGTTGGTCTTCTGAAAATACATCTGAGCGAGGTGTAGGCCGGACAGGTGCTGTATTTCCCCACGGAGAAGTCCTGATATATTCCTTGAATAGTATTAATCCAGATACTTAAATAGCACAACCGCCAGTGAATTCAGCTGCCTCCCAAGTAGCTTTAAAAATAGCAGGCACAGAACAGTAGGGATGTATTCATGGCAACCGTTTTTGTGAAGCAGATGGGCTGCTGCGTTTTGTACCAGTTTGAAGCTTTTTGGGGGGAGTGTGCATCTTTGTTCCCGGAGAGATGATACGATAAGCTCATCGGGAGGTTTCGGATCCGTGCAGCACAGGCAGCAGCCTGGATGTCCAAATGAGTGCCTAAAGCTACGGGCTGATGTAGTATGTACATGTACATCTTTGGGTATCACTGAAGAGGAAGACTTGATTACATTTCCCCCGCCTCTGCTTTCAGTGTCAGTTAATGTTGAGTGACAGCCAGATGCTCTTTACCTTGGTGCTGATTGATTTCTGACTGCATGTTGGCAGTAAGCGTTGCCGGTGCATGATGTGAAGGAAGTGGAAAGCCAGGTGTTATCCACAGACTCCTGACACTTCATGCTACGTTGCTCTGTTAGCGTGCTGACAGTTTCACTCTGGTATTTCTGGATTTGAAGGAAGGGATTGTACTCTGAAAGCCCCTGGCTGACTCTAAAGGAAAGACTGTTTTGCATGAGTTGAGCAGCTTTGAGGGCATTTCCCACCTTCCTCATTGTCTTCTAAAGGCACCTCAGACTCTCTTTCCTTTGGGACCATGCTTTTCCAAGCACATGTAGCATTTCAGCTTGGTTTTCTAATCCTGGCACTCCTGTGCTAGTGTGAACCGAAGAACATGGTTTGTCTCCTGCAGCCCAGCAGCTGTTTGCATGCAGGCTTGACGTGGGAAGAGCTGACCTTGTTAGGGTGGTCTGGCCTCCAAGTATTTCAGTGCGATAGCCTGAACTGGGAATGTTCTTAGCCTTGCAATTTTTAATTGAGTAAGTGTGAAAGGCCACTTTTGTACTGCATGATTTTGTTGTGGTGGTTTTTTTTGTGTGTGTAAAGCTGCGTCCAGAAAGCCAAAGCAAATGCTGATATTTGGGGAGGTACCTCGTACTGATAGCTCCCTGTGGACCGAAGTCAGCTTTTCTGTAAGTGTAGCTTTGTCATCCTTATGTAGGTACAGACCTAAAGCTACTTGCTTTCCTCAGGTGGGAGGATGCAAAGCATCATTATGTCTTAGTGGTATACACAACTTTTTATTTATGTCCTACAGAAGTGAAAGGGGGAGAAGCATTGCCCTGCTAACCCACGGCTGGTGATTCAGAAACCTTTGTGAAGGGAGGTGCAAGACATACCACCTCCAAAGTGCAGCTCTTGGTGGTGAGAGTTAGAAATCAACTAATTCACTGTCTTTACATAAATAATCACTGTACCTGATGTTACAGGATCCTTCAGGTAACTAGGTTCATGTTTGGCTTTCAGACTGGAAAATCATTAACTGTTTGGTTAATCAGAGACTAAAGGACTGATTCAGCCCAGTTCAGATCTAAATCTTCACCACTGTCTGCCCTACAACAAAGGTTGGGTAACTAAATAGTTTATTCTAGAGTCAGTGTCCCCAAGAGGGAAAAAAACTAGCTGTAGCGAAAGGAGAGGATCGCTGGCTGAGTTCTGCCTCTTAATTTGAGTAGGATTGCCACGGTTTAGTAGAGAAAGGAATGCAATCGTGGCTCTAAACTGTTCTCCTAGTTCTATATTTTAGGATGATGTGCACTCGGCTCTATCCTCTGCTAGAGCACGTGGTATGATAACGTATTTTAAAAATGCTTTTGTTGCAAATGTGTCTGAAAATGTATGTCCCTATGTATACATATATTCCTAATATACAGATAAGAGGG